AAAACAATGTTCAATTTTGGACCCAATTTGGACCATCTTGAATACTGTGCCCAAAATCAAATATCTAAATACCACTTAGATTCAGCATATCAAAGAATCTGAACCATTCTTTTTTTTTTTAAATCAAACAAAGTTTAATTTTGGACCCTTTGGACCTTAATGTGGGCAGACCATGCCCCAAATCAAAAATCTAAATACACGCTTAGATTCAGCATATCAAAGAACCCCAAGAATTCAATACTTTTTTTTAATAAAGTTGTATTTTGGACCCTTTGGACCTTAATGTACCAATTTGAAGACAGGCCTCAAAATTAAAAAAATCTAAATACACAATTAGATTCAGCATATCAAGGAACACCAATAATTTAATTTTTAAAGAAATCAAACAAAGTTTAATTTTGGACCCTTTGGACCTTATTATGAATCATTTCAAAAACAGACCCTAAAATCCAAATATTAAATACCCAATTAGATTCAGCATATTAAAGACTCCCAAGAATTAAAGACTTTTGAATTAAACCCCATTGAAATTGCTAAAAAAATAAGCAATTTATACAAAGTATTGGTGTTGGCCCCTTTTAACTAAACCAATAGGGTCATAACCCCTAACATCAATCCAAAACTTTATTTCATGGTATAACACCTTGTGGCACAATTAAATAGCAATAAATAGACTTATACTCAAGTTATTGTCCAGAAATCAGAAAATCCTAGTTTATTTGCCCCTTTTAGCCCCTTATTATTAAACAGTTTGGACCATGACCCTTAAATTCAATCCCAACTTTCCTTTTGAAGTATGGAACCTTGTAGTAAAATTTCATAGAAATCCATATTCTAATACACAAATAAGTGTCCTGAAACATGAAAAATGCTTGTTTTTGACCCCTTTTTAGTCCTTAATTACTAAACAGCTACAACAATAACCTCCAAAATATATCCCAACCTTCCTATTGTGGGATGGAGCCTTGTGCATAAATTTAATACAGATCTATTCAGTCATACTCAAGTTATTGTCTGTGAACCAGACAAATAATTGTTTTTGTTAGGCCCTTTTTGGCCCCCAATTCCTAAACAGCTACTATAATAACCCCCAAAATAAACCCCAACCTTCCTATTGTGGTATGGAACCTTGTGCTAAAATTGAATAGAAATCCATACACTTATACTCAAGTTATTGCCTGCAAACCAGAAAAATAGTTGTTTCCCGCCCTTAATTATTAAACAGTATGGGCCATGACCCTCAAAAATCATTCTAAACTTTCCTTTTGAAATATGGAACCTTGTGGTAAAATTTCATAGACATCTATATTCTTATACACCAATTAGTGTCCTGAAACATGAAAAATGCTTGTTTTTGGCCCCTAATTCCTAAACAGCTACGACAATAACCCCCAAAATAAATACCAACCTTCCTATTGTGGTATGGAACCTTGTGTTTAAATTCAATAGAGATCCATACACTTATACTCAAGTTATTGTCTTAAAACCAGACAAATAATTGTTTTTGGCCCCTTTCTGTCCCCTAATTACAAAACAGCTAAGACAATAACCCCCAAACTCAATGCCAACCCTCCTATCGTGGTATGGAACCTTGTACTAAAATTTCTTACACATCAGTACACTCACACTAAAGTTATTGTCTGCAAACCAATTTATTTTTCATGAAACAGTAAAACTGACCTTTTTTGGACCCTAATTACAAAACCGCAAGGACAATAGACCGCAAGGACAATAGCCCCCAAAAACAATCCCAACCATCCTCTACTGGTATGGACCCTTGTGCTAGAATTTCATAGAGATCGATGAACTTATACTCAAGTTATTGTCTGTGAACCAAAATGTCTTCAGACGCAGACGCAGATGCAGACAACACCATATCATAACACTACCTGCGGTCGTATAAAAAGTCTATGTCCCCCACCACGACAATTGTTTTTTTTTTTTAGGGCAATAACTCTTATCTTTTAAACATTTTTATAAAAATCGAGTTGTGAGAGCCCTTACAACATAATTTTCCATTTAATTTCAATTTCCAAGGAGCATAACTCCCATAAAAATAATTGATTTGGACTGATAATAAATCTTGTCAGAACAATTCCTATAAGAAACCTTTGATGTAAATTTCAAAAAATTCTGACAAGATAGGTATGAGCCCTAACAATGCAATTTTTCATATAATTTTCATTTCCAAGGGGAATAACCATAAATACTTTATGAGTGCTGATTTTCTAACTTGTCAAAGATATTGCTGTTTTTTTATTATGAATTTTCTAGACAATCTGAAAAGACTGTAGGCTTGAAGGCACTCACAATGCAAATTTCAATAAAATTTTCCATAGGGATTTACTCCCTAAAAAATAATGGATCAGAGATGATTTTTCATATTTGTTCAAGGCATTACTAATATGAACCTTTGTTATAAGTTCATATTATTAATATAATAAACTGTTATCACAGAGATATGTCTCGCCTTTTTGTAACTTTGATAATGCAAATATTGAAATTAATATAGCAATACTTTAACATGTAAGTTATGCAAATATTCAAAATCGATGAACCATGACTGAAGGTACATGGCTTAACAATCTCCAAATACCATTGACTTATTATAAGTCGTTTCCTTTAAACAAACCTAAACACAAACATTAACTTGTAAACTATGTAAAAGTTTCAAAGTCGATGAACCATGCTGAGGGGTTGGGCTATATAATCTCCATTGAAACGAGACTTGCAAATGCCAATAAATTTGCATACCAAATATCATTGACTTAACATAAGCGGTTCATCTTAAACTGATCTAATCACAAACTAATAAATGTAAACTAGGCAAATGTTTCAAAGTCAATAGACCATGACTGAGGGGGCAGAGCCAAATAATCTCTATGGAAATGAGATATGCCAATGCTTATACAACTGCATACCAAATATCATTGACCTACCACTAGTTGTTCCCCATAAACTGGGGGCCTCGGTGGCCGAGTGGTCTAAGTAGTTACTACTGTAATCACTAGCCAGTCAACACTGAGGTTGTGAGTTCGAACCAAGGCTTCCAAAACGGTCATATATTCCAGACATTTGTATAATGTCCGGTAAAAGTCCGGCTGGGCAAAGCATGAAACGGTCATCTACTTTTTAGTTTTCAAGGCTTTCTTAAGAGACGGTCATTTTAACATAATTCGTGATCTTTTTGACCCAACCTTTTGCCTTTAACAGCCACACATTTCCGGTCGTAAAAGTGATATGATCATTAAGTACTATCAAAACAACCCCTACTTTAATACCTTCACATTTTAATCAAGGCTAATTAGTTGTCCAACAGCTGAAATTTACCTGTTCAGGTGACAGGTAAACTATTTTGAACCGGACATTGATCGGTCTATTCAAAGTTATTTTCTTACATTTCACCTGTTTGCATCTAATTAATTTAGTCAAAAAGATTTAAATTATCAGAAATACATTTACAGATATGATTTGATGAAAAAATTAAAAAGGTGAAAATGAAAAATCGGCATAACCATGTTGTTTGAACGAGAGACATGTCTCTTTTTGAACTAGTACATGTGTGCGCATGTGCGCAGGTGTGAAATTTAATTATGCATCCTAATTTCTTAAAAAAATGCTTCAATTGTCATTGATATACCTTTATCTCACGTTTATTTCAAATATTTTCTTGAAGAAATAACGTAGAAAGAGCTACTTACACTCATTCATGCTTTTAAAAACGTACACGGAATTTACGTATCCATCTCTGGTCCATGTTTTACCATTGTCAAGATAACATCCGGTATCAGATTTAAAAACGAAAGTAAAGTTTATGACAACGTTATTTTGCACAAATAAAGAGTCTAAGGCAGATATAAGTACGATGATGTTGCACACTTCGAATGATGCACTGCCAATTCAACAGTTTACGTCAGAACTTCGAATTTGAATCAAAGAAAGTTTAATATCGTTTTTTTTTTTAATGTCAATCATTGGGATGGCCAACTCGGCAACTGTAACCATAATTGCCTTTTGTTTATTGAGTCTTAAGGGATTAAAAGCGGGATAATATATAAAATGTCCGGCTGGCTAAAAATAATTTTGGAAGCCCTGGTTCGAACCCCGCTCGTGCGGATGCACTCGACTCCAATCTTAATTGACTAGGATTGTCAGTTTTCCTATTGAAGGTCGGTGGTTTTCTCCGGGCACTCTGGCTTCCTCCACTAATAAAAACTGGCCGCCACGAAATAGCCCAAAAGCAGTGCTTAAAAGTGGTGTTAAAACACCAAAAATAAAAAATCAATCAATCCCCATAAACTGACCAAATCACAAACTAATACATGTAAACTAAGCAAACGTTTCAAAGTCAATAGACCATGACTGAGGAGGCAGGGCCAAATAATTTCCATGGAAATGAGATATTGCAATGCTTATACAACTGCATACCAAATATCATTGACCTACCACTAGTGGTTCCCCATAAACTGACCTGATCACAAACTAATACATTTAAACTAAGCAAAAGTTTCAAAGTCAATAGACCATGACTGAGGAGGCAGGGCCAAATAATTTCCATGGAAATGAGATATGCCAATGCTTATACAACTGCATATCAAATATCATTGACCTACCACTAGTGGTTGCCCATAAACTGACCTAATCACAAACTAATACATGTAAACTAAGTAAAAGTTTCAAAGTCAATAGACCATGACTGAGGGGGCAGGGCCAAATAATTTCCATGGAAATGAGATGTCCCAATGCTAATACAGCTGCATACCAAATATCATTGACCTACCACTAGTGGTTCACCATAAACTAGACCTAATCACAAACTAATACATTGTTGACGCCGCCACTGCCGTTGCTGCCGGAAACAGCATACCTATGTCTTGCTTTTTGACTCTGTCAAGGCGAGACAAAAATCCAAAGTTTGGTTCAAAATGATTTTAAGAACCCTCATCTCCCTTTTAAGACAATACTCTATTTTGATATTCTTACAATAGTTAAACACTTACCTTTTTTGATGCTAAAAGAGATGAAATCAAGCAAAGGTGGGGTGTCATGAACAATTTCAATCTCATTATCATGATAGCCATTAGTGTGAATGCTGCACACTGTAACAGGTTATACACAATCTACAAACATAAAGTCTTTCAAATCTCTCATATTTACTTCAATGCAAGATCAGCAGCTGACAATAATATGCAAACCTTCATTTTTCCTTTGATTAAGATTTAATCATTACAGTTTTTCATGCATCCAAAATTTGTTAACATTGTCATTTTATTTCATATGTTTTACTGAAGATGACCTTCATTCATCATAATTAGAAAATCGTTACTTTATTTACTGTTTAAAGAAAGTCATTTTTATAATTTTCAATCTTTTTTCACATTTCTCGATCGGTGTGAGAAAAATACTTCTCATCTCCAGAGAAAACTTTGTTCTCAGCAAATGATTGGTAGAAATTCAATTATGATGATATTTCTCCACTCTCAACAGTTAAATTTTAATTATTTAAAAAGCTCGGCATGTCTCGCACTTTAAATATTAAAATTTAAATGTCTCCAGTCGAGAAATATCGTAGCACACTTGATGCAGTGGTGGAATCTATATTTCTCCATTTATTGTTTAAGACTTTCAAACTTAAAGTACAGATCTTTTTCATGTTATTTACAATAAAAATATACACAAATTTGTTGCAAAGATCAATGACTCAGCATACATATAACAAAAAACACAAAAGACAACCCTGTCATGTGTTATTCCATTACAATTTAATTAGGGATTTTTTTCATAGAAAAATGTCTTTCAAAGTCATACCTCAGCATTTGGCTTCAATCTCATATTTCTGTAATTAAAACATATACTAGTTACTAGAGGCTCTTCTAGTGGCTCTAAAGAGCCTGTGTTGCTCACCTAGGTCTATGTACATCTACACAATGACTCTCTCAAATATTGTAGACTAGAATAGAATTGAATGACACAAATCTCTTTTTTGTTAATCTTGTATTGCTGATCATTTTTTCTGTTAATAGTTTCTCTCTCTATCTTCTTTAGTTTTTGCCCACAACACAAAAAATGGTAAAAAAAAATTGTCATTTAAGGGCAATCACTCATATAAAGAGTCTACTATGCGAGACATAGCGATCCTACATTCCGTCGTAGGCATCGTCGTCGGTGTCCACAAATATTCACTCTGTGGTTAAAGTTTATGAAATTTTAATAACTTTCTTAAACTATCCTGGATTTATACCAAACTTGGACAGAAGCTTGTTTATGATCATAAGATAGTAACCAGAAGTAAATTTTGTAAAAAAAAAATCCTGTTTATCCGTATTTTACTTATAAATGGACTTAGTTTTTCTGCCAGTTAACATTACATTCACTCTGTGGTTAAAGCTTTTAAAATTTTAGTAACTTTCTTAAAATATTCTGGATTTCTACCAAACTTGGACAGAAGCTTGTTTATGATCATAAGATAGTATCCAGAAGTAAATTTTGTAAAAAAAAAAATCCTGTTTATCTGTATTTTACTTATAAATGGATTTAGTTTTTCTGCCAGTTAACATTACATTCACTCTGTGGTTAAAGTTTTAAAAATTTTAATTACTTTCTTAAACTATCCTGGATTTGTACCAAACTTGGACAGAAGATTGTTTATGATCAAAGCTAGTATCTAGAAGGAAATTTTGTAAAAATTTATTTCCTGTTTTTCCATACATTACTTATAAATGGACTTAGTTTTTCTTCCAGTTAACATTACATACAGTCTGCAGTTAAATTTTTTAAAACATTTATTAGATTCATAAACCATCCCAGATTTTTACCAAACTTGGACAGAAGCTTCTTACAATCAAAAGATAGTATCTAGAGGAAAATTTTTAATAATTTTTTCCCCATTTTTGTTGAGCCTGCGACTTTTGTTGCAAAAGCGAGACATAGCGATCCTACATTCCGTCGTCGTCTGAATTAAGGGATAAATCATCAAGCAATGTAAAAATTATCTTCTTCATCATTTGTTCATTCAATAAATTTATGTTTCAACTCTTTTATAAATCTATAGATTTGATTGCATACTGTACGTATTCACTTTTTACAAGCATAACTTTTTTCATACATTTCAAACGTTTTATTTCATGAACTGTAAATCTATTATGTGCATTTCCCTATCACACTGAAAACATAGACAACAGTTAAAGTAGGCGAGACTCTGGGTTCCGTGGAACCCTTTCGAATTTATGCTATTTAAAGTGTCTATTTATCTATTATAGTTTTCAAGATACATTGTAATAGGCAAAAACAAAAAATTAGTAAATATCTTTATTAAAGAGTAATTACTCCAATAACGAGTCAACTGAAGAATTTGGCCATTAATCTCATTTATAGATCTTGTCTTACTGATCAATTTTGCTTTTTTAAGTTTCTATCTGTCTATTGTAGTTTTAAGGTATTTGACAAACACACAAAAAAAATTGGTAAAAATCGTCATCTAATAAGGAGACGTCTGATGATTTCTGCAATGTTGACTTATTTGTAGAAATTGTCTTGCTGATCATTTTTGCTATTTAAAGTTTCTCTCTATCTTTTATAATTTCAAAGATAATAGGCAAAATGAAAAAAAGATGGTAAAATTGTCATTCAAAGGCAATAACTTCTATAGATGTCTTCTTACAGTTTTGACATAAATGGACATTAGGTAGAGATTTCTGACCCTTTCGGATTCTCTTTATACATAGTGGTTTTTAGTATAATAGACAAAACTAGCATTTCACCCCTATGTTCTATTTTTAGCCATGGCAGCCATGTTGTTTTGCAGACAGGATCATCAGACAATTTTTATAAACTAAATACCCCAATGATGATAGTGGCCAAGTTTGGCCCAGTAGTTTCAGAGGAGAAGATTTTTGTAAAAGTTAACGGATGACGATGATGGACACTAAGTGATGAGAAAAAATCACACCAGCCCTTCAGGCTAGATGAGCTAATTAAGTAACTATTAATTGCAGAGAACAAGATTTTTTATTCCAAGATTTTACTCAAGTTTTACAATGAAGTGAGTAAAGATGATTATTTTGTATGCTAACGAAAATAGATAAACATACCCAAGGTATTAGTCACTGACAAAAGACCTTTAAATCTTAAAATCAAATTAGGTCTGGAAATATTTTTGGGTTAAAACTTAAAATCTAACATAAATGTTTCAACAGTGGTTAACTTAACACTTGTATCAATCATCACAATTCTAATCATTGACATTGTAAGTCCAGATTAGGCTTAAAATTTAAGAATTCAAAATTAGTCTGGTACACTTCGATTAAGGTTCATTTTGATTCATTAAAAGAAAGAAAAGGTGCACTTGATCCAATCTGATTAAATTACAGATCCTATGTCAATGTTTTGCCTACAAGGTGAATATGACAACACTTTATTCTAATTTCTGTTTTTCGGGATCCTCTGGTTTTGTCGTATTAATAATACAACGACTAAAGACTTGTTTGTTATGTCAAAAATGCTGCTGTAGAATTCCATTCATAATGCTATGAAGAAGTACAAGCGTAACTGAAATCTTTAATTTTCTACATTATGCAAAGTTTATAAAATATTATTTTCTTAATAGTTTTAAACAATCCAGTATGAAAGGAATAATGAACTCTTGGAATCTTTCACTTTCTGCCTTTTTCTAAGCCTTACACTAGTTTTAAATTTATATTACCGGTATATAAAAATTTGATATGATTGCAATTGAGACAACTATCCACCAGACACCAAAGGATGGTAATCATACAACCTTCAACAATGAGCAAACTTCATACCCTATATTAAGGTATACTAAAAAGCCCTGGCATGACTAAATGTGAAAGTTAACAACAAAGAAAACAAACAGCCGTATTTTATTCCATTAACAACATATGCTTAATATTTGCTTTTTGTTTAAAAGAGCCATGTATTGTAAAGTTAAAATAGTTTTTGGTACAGATTAGAATTTTTAAGTAATGATAATCTGTTTTTACATACCTGTCTACCTGCATCTCATAAGAGGATGGACTCTTCCATGCTAAATATTCTTCCGTAAGTAACTAAAAATATATAACAGTTAAGAACAGAAACATAATTGTCTTGTGTCATAATTGCTTACTATCATTGTAACTTATCTAAAAAAAAAAAAAATTAAAAAAATAGTCTAATAAGATGTTCTTATTTCACTTTGAAAAAAAACCATGTTCTAATTCTAATATTAATAATGCACATGAATGATGTCACATTTTAATTGCAACGTCAGTTGTATTTTGAACAATGCCGGAGATCGAAATGGACGTTTGCATTGGTATTGCTCGCCAGGAAATTGAATATAATCATTCTTTCTGTAAGTTTACATGTATCTGTTCATGTTTTATTCTCAAAATTGTTGGTTTTCTATAATGTTTTGAGTTCATCAAATCAAAATGGCTGCCTTTTCAAATTTTTGACATAATATAGGTTTCTGACACAAAATAAATGTGGTGAAAAATCTTATAAAAATTTGAAATGGGTTGAAATATTTGTATTAATTTTCAATTGAAGATTTCTTGCAATTGCACAATACTGTGCAATTGGATATTTCTTGCTATTGCGCAATACTATGCAATTGAAGATTTCTGGCTATTGGGCACTATTGTGGTATTGCGGAATACTGTGCAATTGGATATTTCTTGCTATTCTGCAATACTGTGCAATTGAAGATTTCTTGCTATTGCGCAATACTGTGCAATTGAAGATTTCTTGCTATTGTGCAATACTATGCAATTGAAGATTTATTGCTATTGCACAATACTATGCAATTGAAGATTTCCTGCTATTGCGCAATAGTGTGCTGTTGCACAATACTTCATATAATAATTTACAAGTCATGTTTGGTGTGTATCTCCTGCCATATCAGTATGTTTTGCTTTAAAATATAAATCAGAAATAATAAATGCAAAAATGGAAAATTTTAAGAAAAAATACCAAAAAATTATGAAAAAAAAAAATCCCCCCCCCTTAATATTTTTTTACCCCCCTTTTAGTAATTACCCCAAAACTCAATCCCAGCTTTCCCTTTGTGGTATGGTACCTTGCAGTACAATTTCAGAAAGATCCATACACTTAAACACAAGTTATTGTCTGGAAACTAGAAAAATTCTTGTTTTTTACCCCCTTTTGGCCCCCAATACCTGAACGTTTGGGGCAATTACCCCCAAACTCAATCCAAGCCTTCCATTTGTGGTATGGTACCTTGCATTACAATTTCAGAGAGATCCATATACATAAACACAAGTTATTGTCTGGAAACTAGAAGCTCTCAAGAGCCTGTGTCGCTCACCTTTATTTACTGTTGTTTTTGAAATCATGTAAAATAAGGTTATCTTTCCCTCAAGAACTGCATGGTCATAATCTCAATTCAAATTTCCAATGGACTTTGCAACCATAAAAGCCCATTTAAATACAGCATAAAAGTATTAAAATAGAAAATGACATCATAGTCATGGCTGGCAAATTTCCAATATACATAATTTAAAAGCAGTTTAGGTGAGATAAACAAAAAAGCTTCATCAGCAACATTTTATATTGGCAAATTTCCAATGAAGTTCATTAAACTAAAGTTATTGGCAAATTTCCAATGGAATTTATTAATAATAAAGTTTTTGGCAAATTTCCAATATACATAATTTAAAAGCAGTTTAGGTGAGATATTCAAATGAGTTTCAATTACCAACCTTACACTGCCTTTTAAATTATGTTTTGTACTTAAGTAATTGTCCATTAACCTGGAAACCCTTTTCCCCTCTTTTTTGCACCTTATTCCTAAACGGTTTGAGCCATAACTCCCAAAGACAATTCTTACCATCCCTTTGTGGTATTCCAATATCCAAAATCTAAATACATGGTTAGATTCAGCATATCAAAGAACCCCAAGAATTCAATTTTTGATGAGATCAAATAAAGTTCAATTTTGGACCCTTTAAACCTCAATGTGGACCAATTTGATAACCGGGCCCAAATATCAAAAATCTAAATACATGGTTAGATTCAGCATATCGAAGAACCCCATATATTCAATTTTTGTTGAAATCAAACAAAGTTTAATTTTGGACCCCGATTTGGACCAACTTGAAAACTGAACCCATAATAAAAAAACTAAGTACATGTTTAGATTCAGCATATCAAAGAACCCCAAGAATTCAATTTTTGTTAAAATCAAACTAAGTTAAATTTTGGACCCTTTGGACCTTAATGTAGACCAATTTGAAAACGGGACCAAAAATTAAGAATCTAAATACACGGTTAGATTCGGCATATCAAAGAACCCCAATAGTTCAATTTTTGATGAAATCAAACAAAGTTTAATTTTGGACCCTTTTGGCCCCTAATTCCTAAACTGTTGGGACCAAAACTCCCAAAATCAATCCCAACCTTCCTTTTGTGGTCATAAACCTTGTGATTAAATTTCATAGATTTCTATTTACTTATACTAAAGTTATTGTGCAAAAACCAAGAAAAATGCTTATTTGGGCCCTTTTTCAGCCCCTAATTCCTAAACTGTTGGGACCAAAACTCCCAAAATCAATAGTAGGAGTTATTTTTTTTGTGGTCATAAACCTTGTGTTAAAATTTCATAGATTTCTATTTACTTATACTAGAGTTATTGTGCGAAAACCAAGAAAAATGCTTATTGGGCCCTTTTTTGGCCCCTAATTCTTAAACTGTTGGGACCAAAACTCCCAAAATCAATCCCAATCTTCCTTTTGTGGTCATAAACCTTGTATTTAAATTTTCATAGATTTCTATTAACTTATACTAAAGTTATAGTGCGAAAACCAAATGTCTTCGGACGATGACGACGCCAACGTCATACCAATATACGAAAAACTAAAAAATATCTTTCATGGGCAATAACTCCTATTAGTGATCAATTGACAATTTCGATCATGTTAAATTGTTTGTAGCTCTTACTTTGCTGAACATTTGCTACCTAAAGTTTCTGTATATATATGCTAGTTTCTGTGAAAAACTAAAAAAAATGGTAAAATTATCTTTCAAAGGCTACTACTCCTATAAGGGACCAACTGACAATTTCGGTCATGTTGACATATTTGTAGGTCTTAGGCCAGAGCTTTTTACTTTGTTGGTTTAAGGATCTGCCGACCCTATTTTTCTGATTTTCACGTTTTTTATTCCCCCTGATCCTAACAAATACATTAACTCTGAAATATAAATATAAATATCTGCGTATTGGCATTTATCTGAAATGAAATGCATTATTTTAGCATGTTAAATGATTACACAGTTCTAAAACTAACAAGAGGTTGTCAGATTGACAGCAAACCGGATTTTCCTGCATGAAAATGATATTTGCAAATCTGGACCCCCAAACAGGATCAATTAAAAAAAATAAATAAATTTTTGTAGGGTTCAGAAATGGAAAGGCAACCCAATCTTGACCTTCTATTTATCATTAGTGACATAATATTAATTAGAATTTAAGAGAGTATATAAGTACACACACATTTGTTCAGCAGGGGTGGGTAGGCAGAAATCATGAAGTCAATAATGAAAGAAATATGTTTATGAGATTACAACCTTATTTAATATGAAACCATAGAATCTTGTGGTCACTCCAATAACTTTCCAGAAACCCACTTTCAAACGGTTGTTGTCTTGTAATATATGCATGGTTGATGGAAAAATGATTATGAAATTCGAACTTGACCTTCTTTATGTCACAGTAAACAACATATTTAAATTTTAAAAGATTTTGTCAAAGTTTTTTCAAGTTATTGCATGGACAACACTCTAAGTATCACTTTTCACTACTTATAGATCTACACAACTCAACAACAAAAAAGCTAAAATTATGAAAATTGAATTTCACCTTCATTTAGGTGTAATACCACCAAATCATATTACGTCACATCCGGTTTCATACCAAAAAGGGTTGAAAAAAAATATTCCCTTGAATTTGACAGCTGTAGGAAGTTAACCCTGCATTTCATTGCAGACAAAAATTTCTGAGTCATAAACATATATCTTGGGTGTTTCTAAGCACCATTCTTTTTTTTTTGGTGTTTCTATAAAATATTTTGGAAACTTGAGGTTTCATCGTTACTAAAGCTTGTAAACAGGAAAAAAAGGGGTGAACATTTGATTTGTTTACTTCCCATGATGGTTAATATATTAAATGCAATGAAATGTTATGTGAAATTCTGTCTGTAATACTGGACAGGATACAACTTTTACTCATGCCAAGTATTTCTTTATTTCAAACAAAGATATATTCAGCAGAAAAGTGACAATTTAACAAACACTAATAGGGGAAAATCAATGGTGGTATTACTCCAAAAGTCACAGGAAACAACATATCTAAATTTGAAAAGATTTTGTCAAAGTGTTTTCAAGTTATTGCATGGACAACACTCTAAGTATCACTTTTCGCTACTTAAAGGTCTACAATTCAACAACGATAAAAGCTAAAAATGTGAAAATTTAACTTGACCTTCAATTAGTCACATGAAACAACATACCTACATTTGAAAAGATTTTCTCAAAGAGTTTTCAAGTTATTGCACAGACACTGTTTGGCAGCTGCCAGACCGGCCGCCTGCCATCCATTACCAAATTAATAACTGATATTTCCCCTTGTAAATCCAGTTAAAAACTAGTGTTTGTGTCACTAAAAATAGACAATCAAAAAGTATAAGTAATAATTATTTTTACTCCACTGGGATCTCCCCAGTGTTTTGTAGGCCTGCTGGGATCACCCCAGGTCATTTATTCTCTTTATTCTATATTGCTCTACACCTGCCGGGATCTCCCCAGGTGAACATTTCATACAGTATAAGTAATATTGTATTTTAAGGTATTTTTTTTTACTCCGCTGGGATCTCCCCAGGTCGTTTATTCTCTTTATTCTATATTGCTCTACATCTGCCAGGATCTCCCTGGAGTTTCGTAGGCCTGCTGGGATCTCCCCAGGTTGTTTATTCTCTTTATTCTGTATTGCTCTACACCTGCCAGGATCTCCCAAGGTGAACATTTCATACAGTATAAGTAATAATTATGT